AAATTTTGAAATATATATACTAAAGCATCACACACTTTCCCCCTTTCCTACACTTGTTTAGGGTATTTAAGTGCCATTTCAACCGACACAGCCGTCGTTAATCAAACAGAAAAGCAACTTGTGCTGCATGACTCACTTCATAGTCTAACATGGAATAAGTAGGAAAACATTTATTGATCCCTGATTCCTGAAACACTGGACAAGCTATTGACAAAGTGGCCCCAACATTTCTCTTGTGAAGTGCGGCCAGTGTCTACTGGAAGGTACCTATAGCAATGGGGTACCTTCAGTAACAGTGAAGAACTAAAAGAATTCTGGTTGTATGGTTAGCCATGTTTTTCAATACACATGTAAAGTCCTCCTAAACTCTGTCCTGGGGACCTCCCTGGTTATAAAATTTAAAAAAGCACACAAAATACAATTGGTATATGATCCATGAAATGGCAAGAACCAGCTTGACAGATTTTTACCACCAATTAAAATGAGTTCACATGCAGGAATGGTACCCCATAACAAAGTTCATCACAACGGTACACTGGGAAGAACATGGGACCTGCCAAAGAGCGGGGGTCCCTGTTCCCTCTCTGCCCCACGCAAGCGATGCTCTCTAAGGTCCCTGAATTCTCTGTGCCTGCTTCATAAGCCACAGAATAAAGGTGTGGCATCAGATGATCTCCAAAGAGCCCCACAGCTCTTCCAGAGCTGATATTCACGATTCTTCAACTTCAAATCTACCATCCAGTCCATTTATAAATGACATCTCAGCTAACACCGTCACGATGCGTTCCTGTCCATAAAAGCCTAATACGGTTGGGAAGATACAATATTCAAACACCAACTCCACTCCGCCAAAACTTGAGGTGAACTCCAAAACTGGCAAAATATATACTCCTCCCCCTCCTACCCTACCCTCCAACCCCACAAATGTAGTCAGAGGCTTTCCTAAGATAGAAAGAAATTCTCATTTGGAAGTCTTCTAGTGATTTCTTCTAATACATCTTTTTACTTTCCCTTTGAATATTAAGAAAATATACCTATTTAGATGTACAAAATACCTTCAGTTGGCAATAAATATAAAGAATGCTGAAAAGAAAAAGAACTAAAAGCAACTCCACGGGTCAAGAAACATACTAATCTCTCAATCAACTACCACTTGAAGATTACTGCGCAAAGGAAATATATGTACATGTAATATACTGAAAGGCTGGTGCTGCAATGAAATATGTAAACATTCATGGCATGTAAGTCAGAATTTGAAATAAATGAAATGAAAAAGGATGTTATGGATCAGTCAATAAACTTTTGTCTTTACTACTTCAACTTATCTTCAAGAAAACTATTGTACTATATTATCAAAGTTTAGCATTGTCGCTGGGAACGCTAATAGTTAGAAACTAGTAAAAATACCAAAAGAAAATGTTTTGGAATGAGGAAAGTTAAAATGAAATGGATTTTCATAATGCCAGAGTCAGTGTTTCTCATGTTGAAATCACTCTGTAAAGTGCGGCTGAGGCTGTCGTTGACTCTAAATGAATATACACGTGTTAGTCACATGTAACAGTGCCTGGCACATGGCAAGTGCTTCCCCAAGTACTGGCTACCATGAACTCTACACTGAGTCTAGCCCTCAAGTGCACAAAAGACCGTAATCAAATAATGAACATCAGATGACCGGGACTCTCTCTCCAGGGGACGACAGAACAGTATGTGCTGTGTGAAACCAGGATGTAAACTCTGAAACTTGGACTTACAAGCAGAACAATTTTAAATAACTTAAATATCCTAACACAAATCTACAAAAATTAATTATGTGCATTACCGTATTAATTTAAGAAAAATAAAAATGCAAGTCAAATTACAAGACTGATTTGATCACACAAAAAAATGCAACGGATTCCTTTTTCTTTCTTGCATGTTATTCAAATCTAAATGGTTTCCAGTGAAATGTTTTTTAGTGCCCAAAACTTAAGCACACTATAAAGACAAGCTGCTATCAAGTCATTCTAAAAATCCAGTGAACATGCTGTTCACTACAACAGCCTTATCTTCCCAAGGGTGAACTCTTGAAGTAAAACATGTAACAGCCAAAAAAAAAAAAAAAAAAAGGGGGTGGCTACCCTTTCACAAAAATATGAAAAGTTTAAGTAAACCCTAAACTTCCACATAATCAATTTGTAAAACAGGTTCTTCTCTTTAAAATAACCCAAATAGTTGGAAAATTCCATTGAATTTACGTAAGGAAAAAAAAACCCTCTCACATGTTTACATCAAAAGCTAGAGTTTAGCCCCAGGCAGCTGCTCAGTCGGTTGGAGCAACATCCTGTACACCGAAAGGCCCCCAGGTTTGATCCCTGGTCAGGGCACATTCCTAGGTTGTCGGTTCAATTCCCCAGTCCAAGGCAACCGATTGATGTTTTTATACCTCTCCACCTCCCCTCTTTCTCTCTAAGATTAATAAATAATCCTGGGGGGGGGGGAACTTTAAGTAAAATCTTAGATCCCTACATGGCACAAGACCCATGCAAGGTGTCTTTGCCCGTGATGTGTTTAACCAAACATGTTTAGACTGACAGTGACCTGAAAACGAACCACCCTTCTCACGGGAGCGATGTCCTGTAAAGAAGAAAAGTTTCCAACCAAACCAGCCCCTATCCCACAGCTTGCACCCCAATACTTGTTGAATGAACGAAAGCATACTTAAAATATTGAACAGCCATAAATCTACATGAACAATAAATAACAAGTCCAAAGCAGAACTTTTAAGTACTCCAACAGACACAACTTTAACTAAGTCAATGTCAAACTAAAACCTAAGTTGGAACATAATTCACCAAATCATGGACAGGCTAAGCGTATGGACAAAGTGACTACAGATAATGGTTTCATAAATTATCTTGCAGAATTACATTAGGATTTTTTTACACACCGTAAGCAAACATGGTACTGCAAATACACAATACAAATACACAGCTTAAACTAAAATTCAACATTCACTTCATTTCCAATGTTGTCTCATCCTGTAAGATACACACTTGCCTCACTTTCAGACAAGAAGCCCAAGCCCACGAGAGATATCGGAGTCAAGCCGAGTGACAAAAACACAGAGCAGATCTTCAATATAATCTCCTTGGGAAACTTTCAAAGTCAAAACTACTTAGCAGGAGGAAAAACAAACCCTACTGCTGTATATAAGGTGGAGGCAAAAGGAGGCAAAAGGAGGTTTACAGTTGCTTGCGTCGAAAATAATACAATAATACTAGAGTAAACTTTTGCGCACTCAACTGTAATAAGCCTCCTTTGGCCCACTCTGTCTATAGGCAAATAATTGTGCATTCAGTCATCGACCTTAGGAAACTAGTAACTTGTGAATAGACATGTTAATAAATATTTTCATGTTTTAGACAACCACGTCTTTGAATATTCATGCTCATGTATATATATTTTGCAACGACACTGAAGTTCTGAAGACAAAGTTTCCTAAACCATCTTTATTGGACTCTTCCACCTTTGGTTTTTCAACTATTGCCTAACAACGTATAATCTACTTTAATGAGTTTCCACCAAAAACAAAACCAAGCACTTGTCTAATGATTTACAGTGTACTAAAACTTACATGACCACCCTTTTCCAAATATGGTATATATATATCTGCATTGATGATCTGAGGCAGTTGGTTATGCGTTAACTGCAAAAAGTCATTATTTCATACCCTTTAGCTGTAGGGCGAGTTTTAAAATGTGACCGTTTCATTAATGCTAGTAAAGAACCATAGACACAGGGTTCAATGCTAAATTTCTATCTGGAAATGATATGAATTACAAATCCACTGGGCTTTCAACCAATCACCACATTGGTGGAATGAGTTGGCTTTATTTTCATAACATGATTTTGATGAAAGAAACATGAGCACCATAACTTTGACCTATATGCAAATATTTTCTCTGCTTTCAAAGGTAAACAGTAAATATCAAAATCAAAAACCTGGCCCTAAAGAGACTCAATCTGGCCTAACGATAGATTCCTGGGAAAACCCAAACAAGGGGTGACCCCGCCAAGCAGTCAGGATGAACACAGCGACCATCGAGGCTTCAACTCAGGGCTCTGAAGGGCCCCACCAGCATCATGGCTGATGCAGACCGATCCGCAGGAGGAGGCGATGGACGAGGAAGAGGCTGGTTTGTTTACTTGCAGCCCGAGCCGCCGCCAGCAGCGACAGCATCACTGGATCAGCCAAACCCAGCATCTTCCGCACATTTCTATTCTTAGCACACAACTCCCCAGCGGATCAAAACCCCACTACTATTAAAAACACAGACAAGAACGATACCGACCTCCCCCAGCACATCCCCACCCACCCCACCAGCGCCGTCTTTTTCCGCGCGCCGGCAGCCGGGTGGGTGGAGGAGGAAGGAGACCCCGGGGGACGCCGGTGCATCCTCGCCTTCACCCCACCCCACGCACACGGGCGGCCCTAGCGCAGGCAGCACGACAGACAACCCCCTCCCCCCAACCCAAACACACTGACACCGAGCTCCACGCGTTATATAACCTCGCCGCCACCCCGGGTCCGAGCGGGCGCCCCCTCCTCACGCCGTGCGGCTGGCGGGGAGAGCCGAGGAGAGGGCGCGGAGTTGCGCAGAGACTGGAGGCGCCAGGGCCGGGGCAACCCAGACACGGACCGTACCGCTAGGCCGGGGACACCCTCCCGCGCCCCCCTCCCCGCCCTGCGTACCGCCGCCCCCCAGCTTCCCCTGGAAAGTGAGGGGGTGCCCGTGTCATCAGCGCCGGGCATCCCCCGGCCTCACCACCCACACCCAATGCCTCCACTGACCCAGCCCCCGCCCACGCCCCCGGCGCTGTGACAGCCCAGACGCCCCCGCCTCCCCCCACCCCACCGCCGACCCCCGCTCGAGGGAGGACCGGAGGGAGGATCAGGCAGAGGGTTCGGGACTGGCGGCGAATGGGGGAAGGGGCGCGAGTGGGGGGGCGGTGGCTGTTACCTGCAAAGGCGGCCGTGGCGGCCCACAGCTGCTCGGGTGGCGGCGGAGGATGGAGCCGGGGGGGCGGGGGGAGGAGAGGGGGCGACTCGGGGGTCCCCCCTCCCTCCTCCTCCCCTCCTGTCCTCCCCCCACCCCGCAGAGCCTCTGGTCCCCTGGAACCTGGTGCGGCCAGCGGGAGGGCCAGCGGGAGGGCGAGCGAAGGGCTGCAGGGAGGGAGGGAGGGAGCCGGCTGGGCCGGGCCGCGGATCCGGAGCGGGAGGCGGTGGCGGTGGCGGTGGCGGCGGCGGCAGGAGAGGGAGGGAGGAGGAGGAGGCGGAGACTCTACATGGGAATCGGATATCGGCTACAAATTCAATTCATCACCAGAAAACACCGCTCGGGCGGGGGCCGGGCCACGCCAGCGGGGCGGCGGCGGGCGGCGGCTCCGGGCTCCGGGCCCCGGGGCGCCCCCAGCACTGGCCCGCGGGCTGCGGCCTTCTCTCCCGGCCGCACCTCACCCGTGGGACCCCGCCGCCGCCTCCCCGCCCTCCTTCCTCCCTTTTGGAGCCGCCGCCGCTCGGTTCTCGCTGCTGTGCCGCCGCTGCCCCGCTGCCGCCGCGGGGCTTGTTGTTGACTTTGAGGAAAACTCCTGACGTCAGGGGCTGGCTCTCGGCGACTGGCGGGAGCGGCTTCCCCGCGTCCCCGGCCGGCCCGCCGCCTCCGCTCCCCTCCCCTCCCCGCCGGGCCCGCGTCCTCAGGCTTCCCCGCGCCCCCCAAACCCACGGCGCCCCGAGCCCCTCTCCTCTCGCGAGAACAGCCCCCCCAGCCAGCCGGAGCCGGGAGCCCGGGCCGTCGTTCTAGGGCGGGAAGTGCCGGGTTTCCCCGCGCCCTCGTGGCCGGCGGGGGGCACCTGGGGCTCGGGCGGGGAGGCTCGCTTCCCCGAGGGGCCGCTGCCAGGCTCAGGGACAGCGCGGCCACCCCGGCGCATCTCCGCCCGCCCCTCGCGGCTCCCGGGGCGATCAGGCTGGAACACGGGGGGCCTCACTTGGAAGTGTCGGGTGCGGGGATAACCCTGGGAGCCTGGCGCGGGCGGGAAGGGACCCAACCCTTGTGCACCCCAGGAGTCAGCCCGAGACCTGAAAGCATTTCTCACTGTCTCAGAAAACCTTACCGTCCAGCTCGAGAGCCACCCATGGCGCTTCCTGCCAGCACGGAGGGCACACATAGACACACAGGTTGCGATGGGATCCTGATTCACTCTTAAAATGACACCTTTTTTCGGGATATTAGTTTTCACTGATTTGGGGGAAGCCATGATGTTCTGCAGGCACTACAAAGAAAATAACCATTTCTTTCTTTTGAAGTTCATGCCTCCTGAGAATACTCACAATGGAAACCCTATTTTTGCCAAATGGCCATATATTAATTACCATACACCACATTCCATAGTTCCAAAAGGTTTCTTGGGGGTGTTTCTCCCTGATACCATGTTTTGTCAATTCTAGAACATTTTTTTAAAATTCCTGGTCTTTACAGAGTGAGTTGTAGTTATGCATCTATGTCCACATCTTTTCTCTTATGAAATACACATCTATTGGGATTGCGGGTAGGAGTGTGAAATCAATGAGAAATAAATGGGGATTTGGTTTGGTTTTTATAGTCATTTGTAAAGGTAATGTTTCCCTGACCATTTCTAGAGCGAATTTGCCATTTTAAGATACACAATTTACCTAAAAGAAAAAGTTCTTAATTGCTGTTTTTTTCCTTTTCCCATATTTCCCAACACATCATGAACTGGTATGTAAACTGAAAAAGTAAAAGACTGTATCCTAATTTTATTCAGTTTTTCTGTGTATGAAATATAGACAATTTGTTCCCATAATTATCAGACCTTTAACAGTCCCTATTGGCAACATGGTTTGGTCACAGATTTCTTGCTGTAAATCACACACACAAAAAATAAGGTCATATTTTTAATTGAACAGTAATTCAAACCTACTTTCTATTTTAGAGAAAGTTCTTCCTTATGACACCTGCGCTGAAAGAAAAATCCGGAAAGCTCTTTTAAATATTGAACTTTGAGAGTGTGGTGCTCTGAATTGCTAGATAACTCATCAATTTCCATTTCCACTTGTTTCCAATTTTAACATCCACGTGCTTATTAAAACCAAATTTGTCCTGTGAGCCATACTGCCTCAAAACACTTTGCCTAGTCCATTAAATCTTAGCTGGACCAAACCCTAAAATTAAGTATTCTATAAACAATAATGGACTATATACTCTATGCTTCATGTAGAGTATTGAAAAATTGTGAACTTTGATTTTTGCTTTACTTTGCTCTTGTACTGTAGGAGTTTCGTAAATTTCTATAATAAAAGCCTGGTAGGTTTTACTACAGAATTATTATTTATTATAGAGCCATTATCTGTTTCAATAATGCTGTCCCTTCCCTCAGACTGCGTCGTCATGAATTTGGCAGGATCCGCCCGTTGTGGTGGGGCGGCACTGCCTACAGAACGTGCGCTGGATCTCTCCTCCTCATTGTCATCGCTCCCTGATCACCCGTGGGAATGGCAGCATGTTCACCCATGAGAATGTCCCTCCTAAACTTCAGGGGGGAAAGCCCCCATTCTTTGTTAAGCCAGATATTCTTAAGGCTAACATCTCTCAGTAGTAGTAATGTATGCATCTTTGGTTTTCAAATTCTCACCCAAGAATATGCTCATTTATTTTAGAGAGAGAGGAAGGGGGGAAGGGGAGAGAAAGAGAAACACTAAGCAGTTGCCCTCGACATGTGCCCCAACCAACCCACCATGGCAAGACGGACTGGGGGCTCAGACCCGCAACCCTTCTCCCTGACCACGGAGCGAACCCTCAACCTTCTGTGGTATACACCATGACGCTTCAACTAACGAAGCCACTTGGCCGGCGCAGTAATATATGCATCTGATGAAAGGATTCACTCTTCTGGACTGGAAATGAGTGAATTAGATGCTGAGGGCTTATTTCTGAGTATTTCCACCATTTGTTGGGAGTAATGTAAACTAGAAGGTACAATTAGAATTCCAGGACATCGGGTAACAAAAATTAAGTTACTGCTTCGGTCTTATTAAAAAGGATGTCTTGGCTCCATTATCTAGGACATGGCACAAAATAAAACAGAGTAAGTGTTTCTTGAGTAAGTTAATGAGGGAATGAATGAAGGGAGGAGTACAGCTTTCTGTGCTCTCTGTGCAGTTTACATAGTACTTTCCAAGTAGATGGCTTACTGGGAAGATCACGAGCACAGTTTGGAGACTTGCAGACCTGAGTTCAAACCCTATCTCAACAGAATTTATGTCTCCAGCAAGTTGCCTAACTTTTCTAAACCTTAATTTCCTCATTTGTGAAATGACAGTTACGACTATACTTCCACACCTTACTAAGAGAATTAAATGTGAGAAAATATTCAATCGTATCTAACAACACGGTGAGTGGTCAGCAAGGTAGAATTCCTTTACCATAAATGTGGATAGATTCATTAGCATAGCAGTACCTGTACAAGAAACAAATGCAAAACCTATCCCGGCCCATTAACTGTAGAAGTGCATTTCTCGCCCATGTGAAGCTCTGGAGAGCAGAGAAGGCTTCTAGAAGGAAACATTTATTCATACGGGGCCCAGTGTCTTCCACGTTAGAGCTCTGATGTGCTAGACACAACATTACAACCTTGAACTTGCAGAAGCGGGGAAAGCATGGAGAATCATTCAAGGAAGGCTTTCTGCACGTCCCTCCCATTGACCAGCCAGAACTCCCAGAGCCACCTAACTACACAAGAGACCAGGAAGGGGAATCTTGCCCAGGAAGAAACAGAAATAGGCTCGACCAGCCAGCCAGTCTCAGCCACAGGTGATTTCCGAAATAACCACGTTCATCGGATAGTTGTAATTAGTGAATACCCTATATGATTAATAGAGCAATTTTTAAAAGTGCACAGTTGAAATCTATATATAAGTAGCAGAAGAGTCCGTTGCAATTGCTATCAGTACCAGTTGCCTTTTTCTCTTTTTCACAGATGTCTTTAGTATAGGTCAAGCACTGTGTTACTAACACATGAGAATATCTGAGGAATAGGTATGCCACTAATCTAACACTGGGACACTTAAAGCCCTTTGGAAGCTTCCCTTTTATTTCACTGTCAGGTTTTTTTCCCCCTGCTACGTGATTATTAGGGTATGAATGAAAAATTTCCATTCATATTCTCTCTCTCTCTCCCTCTCTGCCAGAGTCTGTTAGCGATTAAGCAATTCCTGGGCATTGCACTGAGCATTTCAGTACTCTGGGGTTGCTGAAAGTTACTGACCACAATAACTGCTTGTGAAGCATGGAGCTAGAACTCGTGTTCTAATTCCAAAGCGACAAGTGTACATAATTATTATTCCTGGCCGTGCAGAAGAATCAAGGTATGTAATAAAACTAATACATCCCTATTGTAATCCCAAAGCCTCGTTTTAGGCTATAATTTTAACTTCCTGAAGGGGTGTGCATTTCTGGCTCCTTCAGAATCTGCTCTGTGTGGGGACTGAATTTTTCAATACAACAGCGCTCAGTGAAATAATGACAGTAAATTTCCAACCCTCATCTGGGTAATTACCGCAACTCCTTTCTCCGTTATCTCATGTAAATACAGCTCTGTTTCAGAAAGTTTCCCCAACTCTTTTGAAACGTAGTGTCTTCTGCTAATGTAATGAAAATACTTTCAGAATCAACTGGAAAGTTTCATATCTACACCCAACTTTTTTTTTTTAAACCCATTATGAGCCCTGGCTGGTATAGATCATTTGGTCAGAGCATCGTTCCATAAGCTGATTCGGTCACAGGCTGGATTCCCAGTCAGGGCACGGGGCTAGGTTGCTGATTCAGTCTCTGGTCAGGACACGTACAAGAAGCAAACCAGTGGATATTTCTTTCTCGCATTAATGTTTCTCTCACTCTCTCTCCCTCCTTTCCCCTCTCTCTAAAATCAATAAACATGTCCTTGCATGAGTGTAAAAATAAATTTTAAAAACCCACTCTGAAGTCCTTCAATTGTTGAATTTGAAATAATATTGGTTTGCTTTTGTATGGTAGGGAAAATTCAGTCTCAGAACTTTTCTATTGACTGGTAGTTATTAGACAGAAGGATGGCCACTTTAAGTTGCAAAAACTGTCAATTCAGGCATTAGATTTTAACTGAAAACACTGAATCTGGTTTAGAATCGAGGCTTCTTTAGGCTGAAAGCCTATAGTGGGAAAGCAGGCAAGCTCAGTTTCTCTATTTCTCCATCCTATTTTTTTTTCTCTTCCATCCCACAGATCAGTCTCCGGGCAAAGGACACAACTGTTCTTATCCCGCTGGTACCATCGTAAGCCAGCCTTGCACACTCTCAGCCTGATGCACAGAACCAGATACAGGATTTGCAGGGCACAGTGCAAAATGCAAATGCCGGACCCCTTACTGAAAAAGAATCAAGAATGTCAAGACGGCCACCACAGAGCATTAAACCAAGCGCCAATCCCCACGCACAGGGGTACAGATTGCACCCCCCTGAAGCTACTGGCACACGTATGAGG